CCCGCCGCCCCCCCCCCCCCCCCCCCCCTACGCTCACCCCAAGTGCAGGTCCGTACGGGTGCGTGTTTCCTGGCTCGGACACAGACAGGATCCATCCTGTCAGCGGATGAGTATGCGCACCCGCACGAACGTGTAGGGTGGCGTACGGCCGCGTACTCCCATAGAGAAGGACAGGGCTGCGTACTAATCACGGGCAGCACCTTTCTTTCTCGGGAGCCGCCCGATACGGCCGTGCACGCAGCACTGAGCTGTACGCCAGTGTGAATGAGGCCTAGGCATTGCTATGCTGTGCACATTGCACCTTGTGTTGTCTTGCTCATTATCCCCACCGGTCATCTCCATCCTCTCCCCTTCACTGTGTTACTTTAAAAGCTTAATTCCCCTTTATCATTTATTGGGGGTCACCACAGCCTAGCAGGGGGGGGGGTTCCTGGCATTCCCTGCATTGGACTTCTGTGACCAGCACCGCGAGGATCTCGCAGCGAGCTGAGCGCATCTCCTTTTCTTCACACCAGGCAGAAACCAGCCGCGCTGAGCTGGAGTTGGCGCTCAGTCGACAGAGGACGGAAGAGGCCTCCCTGCGGGACGCTTTATCCAAGATGAGCGCGCTGAACGAGAGCCTGGCCCACGACAAGATAGTGCTGAACAAGGTCATCGCTCAGGTATGGCTCACACCACGGCAAGGTCAGTGGGCTAGTCATGGATGGGGTGAAGGGTTACGGGGTTCCGTTATAATCCACCATCATGTGACCGCACTGACTTGGGGTCTGCAGTGGCGATCAGGTTTAGCCGCTTGTGTGCAGTTCCTGGTCGGGACAGTAATGTCCAAAAGAAGTCACCCGCACTCCACGGTCCAATGTGCTGAACGCCTCTTTTATTCAGACGTTACACAGACATGGTGGCCTTGTGTGGACGCCGGGCCCGGCTGTAGGCTTCTTTTATTCAGACGTTACACAGACATGGTGGCACAGTGTAAAAGCAACGTTTCAGGTCACTGTGTTTGCCTGACGAAGGGACCTCGTTCGGTCCCCAAACGTTGCTTTCACACTGTGCCACCATGTCTGTGTAACGTCTGAATAAAAGAAGCCTACAGCCGGGCCCGGAGTCCACACAAGGCCACCTCGGGGCGACAGGGCACAGAGGGGCGGCAGCGTCTGTGGAATCCCCGACGCCCGGAACACGCAGT